CACGAATCTCAATTTGAGCCGATTCGGTAAGTGGTTTAACTACCGCTCGGTCACCCAAGGCCTTGTCTACAGCTTCGTGAAGGGCACTATGTTCCGGCTGTAGTATGTCTCATATAATAATATATATCCAACACACACACACTATGTACACATATACAAGAAGCGATCAAGTAAACATAAATGTACTCCAAATATTATCGGCCACATAAGTGGACCGCTCATATGCAAGACGCATGGGAATAGCCGCGTCAGCAATTGATCGTTTGGCAAGCCAACGGCTGCCGCTTGTATATATTTACATATATGTCCACTGCTGCCTTCTGCAGCATCGGCTCATATAGCCGTGTCAGCATTTGACCGCTTGACAACTCAACAGCTCATATAGCGAACTAATGTATATGCCCTTTGCATATATGTATATACATAAATACATACTGCGCTCTCTTGCTCTGCTGCCTTCAGCGGCAGAGATATATAATAAGAAATCTATGTACTTTAGGCTAAGATTTGATTTGAATAAAATACGGAGAGCATTCGCTGTCCAAACCCAAAACGACAAAGACGTTGCCGTCGAATGTTTTATTCTATTACATGGCGACCGTGACAGTTGTCGCTGTCTACAAATTAAATAAGTGTATTCTGACCGAGTCTGAAGATGACGCTATGGACTTCGCCATCTACACATAAACCTTAACAATGTCAACAACAACAACAGCGACAGCAGCAACAACAATATGGACATCGTGGGACATCGCAGATACCAACTGACGGCAGAAAAAAATAAAGAAGAACTAGAAATTTGAAAATCTGAGTGAGTAGAGGTTAATGAGTGAGGCTCGAAAGAAAAAAGCCGGCAGAAGTGGCTTAAAAATACGCCTGCGGAAAAGGAAGGCGGAAATATTAAAACTATTGTTCGCCACCAACCCACCACCGCGTTGGCAGGCAACAATAGAATTGCAAAAAGAGCTTGACCAAATTGAGCAAGCGCAACAAAATCGAAAAAACAAACACTCAACCTCTACCACTATATACAAACAGATTCCAATTATTAATCAAACTTCTGAAAACAGGAATGCGACAATGCCCAAAGTCACCATAGACAAACCGAAGAAGACGTGCCCAAATGACTGCGAGGGACCTCTAGGAAGCCCACATTGCAATTACACGTGCAAACACTGCACGACAACCTGTGCGGCCAGCACCGGTACCGCCTGAGCCCATAGGCCCCGGACATCAGCAGCAGAAACAACAGCGTAAAAGGCAGGCCGCCTTTTATGCCATCGAGGGAACATCAGCGAACCAACCGGTGACGACCAGCTGATGTTAGATTAACTAAAAATTAAGAACAAAAAAAAAAAAAAATTTTTTTTTTTGCACTGCGATGCATACACATAATTAATGTTAAGAAAACAATTGTAAAGCGGAAGCGATCAAAATCATTGCCCGCTAGCGTATGGCCCGTGAAGCCATACACCTAATAGGCAGGAAGATCACTGCGATGATCGAGTAGGGAAGATAGGATATATATATATATATATATATATATATATATATATATATATATATATATATATATAAAAAAAAAAAAAACAAAAAGAATAATAATTTTTTGTATAATCAAGTAAAAATTAAAGGATAGTTTTTAAAATCTTTGTATTTTTCAAGAATAAAAAAAAAAAAAAAAAAAAAAGAAATTTTAATTTTAATTATAAAACCGATTTCACGAAACTACAAAAAAAAAAAAATAATTAAATTTCCAAAATGGGTTGGTTCGGAAGCGACGATACTCAAGCTAAAGATAATACAGCGAATGTCGTAAATAATGTCAAAATCATCGATCATACAGATGATCTAAACGCTATTTGGATATTGTTATTAATTATGACAATAGCAACAGTCTGCCAATTTTCATTAACAGTTTACGTCAAGCATAACAAATTAATTAAACGTAGATACTTGAACAGGGCGGCAGATAACATCTAAAATGAATGACAGAATAGATCTAATTTTAAGAGAGAACCCAAATTTCATAATAAACTCCCTAAATATTTTGCATAAGCATAAAGAATTTATCAAACTTCATGAATTCGAAAACGAATACATTAACACATACACATCTTTTATGATTTAAAATGTAACTAAAGCCTCCTTAGACGCACCCGTGTGGTCGCGGGGCTCTAGAATACAACCACAGTGAGAGAACGCTTGTCGTAAAAGGCGACTAAGAATCTCAACTGGCCAAGACCAAAATTTTATAAAAGACCTGAAGTCACTACCAGGCAAGTAAACAGAAAAATTCCTGCAGGATATGTTCAAGAAGATTTGCCTATGCAATCTCTTAACAAACGCTTCTAAGCCCAACGTCATTTTTAATGACGAAATATAAAAAGTAGTGGCCTTGCATATAACAAATCGACATGTTTTTAGAAACATGAAGAAATTATAGCAAGAATTGATGTTAGCGATTTTGTGGAATTCTCGACTTAGGTCAGATTTTCCAAAGGCTTGCATGACAAGCCGGTGTATATATAATCAGCAACACAAGAGGCACCGTGCAAAAGATCTTTGAACTAGTTTCACAGATTCTTTTAATCATATGGGCAAGAATATATTCTAGAGTAGCGCTACTCAAGCCGGTGACCCTAATAAATAATAATAAAGATAAAGAAGCGATACTGTTTACATACCATGATGATCCAATTCAAGGAGGTCATACAGGCATTACAAAAACTTTGGCCAAAGTAAAAAGACATTATTATTGGAAAAATATGACACGTCATATCAAAGAGTACATAAAGAAATGTCCAAAATGCCTAAAATCAAAAGTAACAACAAAAGTAAAGACTCCAATGACAATAACGGAAACCCCGATACAAGCTTTTGACAGAGTGATAGTAGACACAATAGGTCCACTACCACGCTCGGAAAATGGTAATGAATACGCAGTTACGTTAATATGTGATTTAACAAAATACTTGGTATCCATTCCAATTCCGAATAAAAGTGCAACAACTGTTGCCAAAGCTATATTTGAAAATTTTATTCTGAAGTACGGTCCAATGAAGACGTTCATTACGGACATGGGAACAGAATATAAAAACTCCATTATAAACGACTTGTGCAAATACTTGAAAATAGACAACATAACATCTACTGCACATCACCACCAGACTTTAGGGACAATAGAACGAAGTCATCGAACATTTAATGAATACGTTCGTTCATACATATCTGCAGACAAAACTGATTGGGATGTTTGGATACAATATTTTACATATTGTTTCAACACTACACCATAAGCAACGCATGAGTATTGTCCATACGAACTAGTCTTTGGTAGATTACCGAGACCATTCGTAAACTTTAATAAAAATAATATAGTTAACCCATTATATAATTGAGAAGACTATGCTAAGGAAATAAAATTTAGATTAGAAGTAGCATATAAAAGAACAAGAGTTATGCTAGAAAAAGCCAAGGCTCTTAGGAAATTAGAATATGATAAAAATGCTAAAAATTTTGATTTAAATGTAGAAGATAAAGTACTAATAAGAAACGAAACAGGGCATAAATTAGACCCAGCATATATAGGACCATATATAATAGATAAAATAGATGATAATGAAAATGTTTTCATTAAAGATAGTAAGAATAAGAAACAGAAAGTACATAAGGATAGGCTAAAAAGATACAATAATTAAAAGGTTTCATGAAATCGGTCTGATCAACCAAACAAAAGAAAAAAAAACAAGTAAGAAGACTCTAGTCGAGACTGCTCGACTAGGAGATACCCTGAACCCTCTAATCTGATATTCAAATCAGTCTGCACTTCTTTTCGACACACATACATACACACTCACGTATTAGAACGCGCTCTGCTAACTGCGCAGTAAGCAGCGACTGCGCTTGGGATGCGCTGTAGTGTGGGCAACATTATAAGAATTTATTTGTTGAATAATTTAATTTCTAGACGTACAATCTTAATGAAACTTTTAGAGAGTAATCATATGGTAAAAATGTATGTACATTCCAAAGCACATTACAAAGGTGAGGGTGAGGGGGTGGATATAGGGGTGGGGGGTAAAATACAACAAAAATCGAAATTATATAAAATACATATAAGTCTACATTTAAAATTTGGAAGCTCTAGCTTCAAAGGTGTAGGAGATATAATAAAATAACTAGCTTTCGATAGGGTTTTTAATCGATAATAAAATATCGGGAGTAATTATCGATATATAAAGAAAAACTTGATATGCGCGTGATATACACAGACCTAGGAAAAAAAATTTCAAGTCTCTAGCTCTTATATCTTCTGAGATCGACGCGTTCATACATACGGACGGACGGACGGACGGACAGACAGACGGACAGGGCCAAATCAACTCAGCTCGTCGCCCTGATCAAGAATATATATATAGGGTCTGCCACGCCTCCTTCTGCCTGTTACATACTTTTAACAAAACCATTATACCCTGATTTCCCATTTTCAATGGGTTCAGGGTATAAAAAAAAAAAAAAAAAAAATTTTTTTTTTACATTTTATATTACCATATATTTATCTTTCATTTTTATTTTTACATGAACAAATTGAAAAAAAAAAAAAACTATATATATACTTTTTTTTATACCTATTATATATATTATATATTATTCTTAAATAACTCCATATATTACGTTATTTTTTAAAAAGGGGAGGTGTAGTATGTCTCATATAATAATATATATCCAACACACACACACTATGTACACATATACAAGAAGCGATCAAGTAAACATAAATGTACTCCAAATATTATCGGCCACATAAGTGGACCGCTCATATGCAAGACGCATGGGAATAGCCGCGTCAGCAATTGATCGTTTGGCAAGCCAACGGCTGCCGCTTGTATATATTTACATATATGTCCACTGCTGCCTTCTGCAGCATCGGCTCATATAGCCGTGTCAGCATTTGACCGCTTGACAACTCAACAGCTCATATAGCGAACTAATGTATAAGTTAACATTAACATAGCATAAGCATATTTCCCTCTCACTTGCCGACGCTTGTTACATGGTGCCGACGAAAAGCATTGAATTCAGCGCCCTGACCACAGCGGACAGAAACAGTAATCTGACACCTTACATTAGTGTGGGGGTGTCAGCATCACTTTCGAGCAAATCGGCACGCCGATTCGCTGTCCCACATTTTTAGTTTTTAGTTCTGCTTTGTATTCTCGAGAAAACGTCACGAAGAAATCCATTACTCCGGCACCAGCCGTAAATAAAAAGTCTTTCACTCTCTCAGCCTAAGCGAGAGATAACGGGGAAAATAACGTATTTAAAAGTCTTTTATTCTCTCTGCCTAAGCGAGAGGTAACGGAGAAAATAACTTATTTGGCGCCCAACGTAATAAAAGTACTCACGAGAGCCCTCTCAATTAATAAGTGCATGTGTTAAACACACTTAACAACAAAAACCAAAGTGCAACTTTAAGAATAAATTGACAAAAAACATCTTACTTGTGAAAGTGAAGTGCAAAAGCAATCGTGAAAAAGAAAAAAACTCTCAGCGAATAACCGAACTTTCACAAAGCTCAAGCAAGTGCATACACCAAAGGTTTAAAACCAAAATATTTATCAAGTGCACTCACCAAAGGTTCGACACCACACTAACTATCGAGTACGCACACCAAAGGTTTAAAACCAAAATATATATCAAGTGCACTCACCAAAGGTTCGACACCACACTAACTGTCAAGTACATAAACCAGAGGTTCAAAACCAGAATAATTATCAAAGGCATACACCAAAGGTGCGGCACTAAGCTAACTATCAAGTGCATACACCAACGCACAGTGGGCGAAACGGCTGATTTAGCGGCGATTAATTAATAACTTCTGCAAAAATGATGCTATTTTTGTACGGATACTTTTGTTTTGTAGATAAATTATATACACATCAGAATTAATGTAGAAAAAAATTTTTTCATTAAGTGAAAGTATTAAAAAAATTTTTTTTTAAGATAGTGTAAGCCCGTTCTATTCGATGTATGGTTATTTTCGCTCAATTTTAAGGAATTTCAATACATTTTTAATACTTCTTTTTATTTGCTATTACTTTAGAAATATATATACAAACCATCAAAAAAATAAATAAATTGGACAGCATTATCATTTTTTTTTAATTATCGAAAGTGTCTTCTTTCTCTCTTCTTTCGCATGTTCCCCTAGAGTAATGTTCAATAGACCAAATTTTTTTTTTTTTAATATATATATTTTTTTTTTATATATTTTTTTTTCTTAAAGCGTGCGATTATGTACGCAATCCATATAACGTAAATATTACCAACAATTTTACATCTAATCGGAATCTGATGTTTCGCAATCCGATAGCTCAACTTGTGAGTCCTTATTTGAAATAAGACTAATAATGTCTTTATCTACAAACCGATCTTTTTTAGAAAAGGAAACTGTTGATTTCGCTAACATTGTAATAAATGGGTCCGATGAAATAAAAAGTGTGTGGGCCAAGTCTTCCATTGTGTTATTGCGACAATTTTTTCGTGTGTGATTTAATCGAAATTTTCTTTGATCTTTATTTCTGGCTTCAAGAGCTTCTTCTGACATCATACCTATCGGAAGGGCAAAGTGTTCTATAATTTCTGCACCATGAATCAAAATTTTATGGACAGAGGAAGGCATATAAAACCATGGGTACATGTCTACAAATAATATTGCAGTTTCAAATGCATAATGTTTAAAGACTTCTGTATCAATTTCATATCCGGATGCTAGTGTTCGTAATATTACACTAAATCGATAAATTAAAAGATAGTTGACTCCAGTTATTTTGGCAGCTAATTTTGCATCTTGAAAAAACTTTCTCGCTGTGTTGCCGTTATTAGTATTGCCTGACCCGCCAGGCTTTGGAATATCAACCAATATACCCATCTCTTTTCTCAAATTCTTTTGTATTTCCAATTTTCTCATATCAACAGCTGCTTTATCTGTACTTCGAACTTGCCAATTTTTAGTTATTAGTCGGTAGCTAATATGCAGAATGCAATCAAGGAAACGAATCCAAGCATGTAAACTAGATAAACCATATTTGTAAAGGTTTTCTTTGCATGGCAAGTTTTTAATAGCACTGAGATCATTCATTTTTTTTGGGGTTGTACCACATATTCCACAAACTGAAGTTGATGATTCAGCCAGAACACTGAATACTTTACCATCTATCATCGTCAGGTGAAATTGATGATGTACTTCAAAATTTGTTATATTAGTTGGCTGTATTGCTGTTATTTGGCTTTTGAAATTATTCACAACATCATGAACCAAATCTATTGTTTCCTTTTGACAAATCAATTTTAATGGCCTGCAATAACGAGTGGATGAAGGTTTGGCATTCTTCCAAACTATTTCTGATCCTCGTAGTATTTCTAATGGTACCAAGTAAGCCGAAAACATGTGCTGATCGACCATACAAGCGTTCAAATCATTAAAATTCTGGCGATAAGTTGAGTGGCCACTACTTCCATCACAACCCCATTTATATATTGCAGTTAGCTGGGAACCATTGTTATTTTCTATACTAGGAAAATCTTTATAATGTGCTTTATATATTCGGGATATTGTGTGGTCAATTAAATTATGTAAAGGTACCTCAAATGAATGATCAGTTACTACTAGACCACTAGGATAGCACAGTTTTTTTGCAGAACGCAGAACATCATACGTCGGAAATATATTTGCATTTCGCATTTTGGTACCACGCTGCAAGTCTGTATAAGCCTTCTTTGTATAACCACCATCAATATATAAGGCTAAGGCTTCCTCTGGTGTATACTTAATTGGTTGCTTATCATCGGACTGAATAATTGATTTTATTTTTTTGGGAATACTTTCATCAGTGCTCAACAAATTAATCATTTTAGATGCACTTCGCTTTCCACAGTTGTATAAACTAGTACTAGCCGCGGAGACAAGCTCATTGCTCGGAATTTCTTTGACGATGTCTGAAATTTTTTTTCTTTGTTTTTTCCTGGCTATCTTCAAAACTGAGATCAGGTCGCCCAACATTTGAATTTCGATCCACCAATATTATATCGTCATCTAACCATTCCTGGTTGTTTAGCTCGAAATTTTTAAGAATTCTATGATTTTCTTTCCATTTGCATGTCAATTTTGTAATGAAATTTTTTATTTTCTTATCAATTTTAGCGCATTGGCTATCGTCGTATTTATTTTTATCAAAAATATTGGTGTAGATGTATGTCTCAACCGCAAAAGTTTTTTTTGAAACGTCAGTCTCCATATGCCATACACTAAATAATTCTCGTTTGGACACTGACATTGTTGCTAAAAAAAATATTTCTAAAATAATATGCGGATATATGCAGCTCATTGTGGACGATTTCACTTCGTAATACACAGACTTATTTTTTAAAAACACATTGATATCGAATCCAGTCGAATCTTAAAAGTTCTACTCTACTAAAGTTCAGTTTTTAGCAAATGTTAAGACAAATTCAAGTACTAATTCATATATTACGTTTTGGGACGAAACACAATCACAGGTCGCAAACATTTATTTGGTTAGTAACTACATACCTTTTTATTCAGTTCACAGCAAAAAGTTCAATTGAAAACAGTAAAACCAATTTTTATTCAATTTTTTTTCGATTCAATCGGAATTGGCGGGAAAGCTGATTGCAACAACCAACAAAACATATGTTGTCTTCTAAGCTTCACAGCTGTGCGAATATTGAGAGAAAATCGAAGCGATTAATGTTTTTGGTCTATCGAATATATTAGTGATCGATTACAAAAGAGAAATTGGCAACTAGAATTACTTTAAATTTGAATTAATCGGAGCTAAATCAGCCGTTTCGCCCACTGTGCAACGGTGCGAAACTAAAAATCAAAAGCGAATTTTCGCACCAAAGTGCGAAAGCAAAACTCATTCTGTCACAGCACCGGACCGGTGTTGGCAGCGTTTGTCACGTAATCGGACCGATTACGGCAGCGTAGCAAATTAAAGCAAGCAATCCACTCAGAAGACTACGACGACGTCAGCAAAGAGCCGGAAACACCAGGAACAGTCAAGCGCCCCTTCAAATAAACATGTAAGTGGCGTGCTCAGTTAATTCACTCCAGATAAAAAAAAAAAAAAAAAAAAAAAAAAAAATTTTTTTTTTGTTTTCTTTTAATATTAACTCGACAAGCGTACTGTGTCCATTCTTTAACAAAGCATTTATCCGTGTTCAAAAAAAAAAAAAAATACAAGCCGAATGTCGATTCGTGATTCTGTGTAGGTTGCTAATGAGTTTCGCAGGCCCGTATAGAGAAGTAAAAAGAGAGATTATTAGCGACGAAGAGTCCAGCCCTCTCCCATCTGACGATAACCTCGAAGACTTTGACAGTAGCATTGTAGGTTTTGCCCCTCAACTTCCCCCTCAGCCAACCATGGACGCCGCAGGTGTCGATCGGATAGTGCAGGCAGCGTTGCTGGCCCAGAAGCAGGCGTTCGATGCGCAGCTCGACGCTTTGAGACAGCAAGTTTCTACCTTGCGAGTCGCAGCCCCAGAAATTCAAGTGTACCAAAGGATAGTAGTCGACCCCACAGTCCAATGCCCAATCTCGCTAGACGTGGTAAAGACAATGCCCGACTTCGACGGGGCTCAAGAAGACTATGTTGCCTGGCGGCAGTCAGCAACAGACGCTTACGAGCTATTTAGGTCCCACCCTACTAGCAGTGTTCATTACCAAGCGGTGACCATAATTAGAAACAAGATTAGAGGAAACGCAAGAGCCCTGCTTACGTCCCACAACATGGTTCTTAATTTTGATGCGATCATTGCCAGGCTGGATTCCACGTACGCGGACAAGACCTCACTAAGGCTCCTCCGCCAAAACCTGGAAATGGTCAGACAGGGCGATTCTTCTCTCATGCAGTACTACGACGACGTAGAACGCAAGCTAACTTTGGTAACCAACAAAATCATCATGACACACGAAGCCGCCATGGCGACCTTATTAAACAACGAGGTCAGGGCAGATGCCCTTCACGCATTCGTTTCGGGTTTAAAAAGATCCCTCAAGGCCATCGTCTTCCCAGCCCAACCCGGCGACTTGCCCGCCGCCTTGGCCTTAGCACGAGAGGCCGAAGCTAGCATTGAGCGCAGCAACTTCGCTGCGTCATACGCGAGGGTGATGGAAGAAAGAGCTCATTCGAATGAGCACAACAAAAGTCAAACCAGACAGGACAAATACGGTAGGAATAATAACCCTAACCAAGAGAAGAACCCACACTTCGTAAAAAAAACAAGGGAAACAACCTCAAAGCGGCGATCACGCGCAGCAACAGCCGAAACCGCCCCAGCAGTCGGAGCCGATGGATGTAGACCCGTCAATGTCCAAGGTCCGTCAGACAACAAACTGGAGGGACAGACCCGCACAGCAATCCGACAATGGACAAGCCGCGAAGAGACCCAATTCGTCAGAACGACACACTGGCCCCAGGCGGCAAAGACTGAACCGAGTGGTTCAGCATAACGAGTACGATGAAGCTGCAGCCGAAGCTGTTGGCGAAATACTAGACGACTCCGACTCCCTAGGAGACAACGACCTGGTCAATTTTTTAGAGGTCACTCCCGGCTACCGTTCATCGAGCGGCAGTTGGCTGGGAGAACAGTAAAAATCCTAATCGATACAGGGGCGGCGAAGAATTACATTCAACCCATAAAGGAGTTGA